CCCTTATAATTTCAGCCTTTTTTTTTTTTTTTTTTTTTTGACACCCCTCTTCAGGTAAGTACAAAGCTTTTTTTCAAAAGCAAAAAAATTCCACTTTTACAATTTCCATTCACAAGTCATTGTTCTGCCAAATGATGACTTGTGAATGGAAATTGTATAAGTGGAATTTTTTGTTTTTGTTTTTTTTTTTGCAAGAAAGCTTTGTATTTACCTGAAGAGTGGTGTCAAAAAAAGACAAAGTTGCACCCAAAATGCATAGTAAAAAACCTTTGAAAACCTTTGTATTACTTTTGTCTCTGATCAAATGCAGTCACAGATGGATAAAACAATGGTTATCTATTTAGTTTTAAGATTTTTAAAAAGAGTAAAAACTGCACTATAAATATATTTATATATTTTAATTACACAAAACCATCTGTTATGATATTTTATTTAAAAGAACTTTTTATATTTTTAATTATTATAAAATGGCAGAAAGCTTAATTTTCAGGGTAGGGATAGGTTTTATAAAAAAAAAAACTGTAAATAATAACGAGTGATTATTTATTGTGACATCATCACAATACCAAGAAACAATTTTTAATCATATTTTTAATTTATTTAATCTAAAATATTTGCTCTCCACATCAACTTAGTGTCTTGTCCCGTACATCATACTTTCCCCTGCAAAATTTCAGAAATTTTCAACAAAAGTCACGGGAGTTATTAAGCTTCAAAGAGGGTGAACAAAATCATGCTCCCCTTACATACACATACACAAACATCCATACATACAGAAAAAAACCCTAGAATTTTTTTGTATTTCTTGATGTTTCAAGGTCCCGAGTTCAAAAATGTAAAAATCTTGGGGGGTCATTTTTTGATCGATTGCTATACTTTTCCTCATTTATATATAACAGAGCCAGAAAGTAAAATTAATGTGCTAATAATGTGCAAATAAAATGAGTTTTCATCCAGATGTTTAAATAATAATTGTTATAATTGTATGAAAAATGGGTTTTCTCATATTTGGTCCCTTTTGAAAATTGTCACCACCACCGCTGATATACAACAATACCATGTTTTTTATATCTTATTGAATTATTACATTTTTACAGACATTACTGTTAAATTATGTAAGAATTATTTTTTTTCATTAAGAATAATACAGCAAGCCTTCAATATAACAGACTCAAATTTAACAGACAAAATATTTCTTCATAAATGAAATAACATAGAATCTTTTCTTAATTTTCCAATAGAGTTAGTAATGCCAACTCTTAATCCCACCTGACCAGGAGATATGATCAAAAGAAAACTTTCTTTCCATTCATGCATTAACTTATGTAACACTTTCAAAATATAAGTATAAAAGTTTTCATCATTTAGAATATTAGTAAACAGCTTCACAACTTAACTCATAAACAGTGCTTTAACACTAAACAATAAAACTGGAAAATAATTATGCATGATTATACAGCAATGTTTCCCAGCTGAGTTCTTGTAACTTGGAGATAGTGATGTGGGTGATATGTAGTCATTCATTATTGTGCAAAAGAAATACACCCATAGTAAGCAACCCAGGATGTCTCTATAACAGAGCCGTATTCAAATCTTGCGGAGGTTGATAGTAGTAGGCACTGTTCATACCACATGGTTGCACTAAGACGTATGAAGTTACATGGATAATGTCATTACTTTCCCAAAACATACTTGTCATCACTTTGCCTGCAGATGCAGGTGCTCAGAATGTCCTGAATGGAGATGAGCCTACATGCCTCCATTATTTAGATGCTCATTTCGTTTCTGGTATGTAGTGTGTCCAGGTATAATGACATGTGATAATTTGAATCAAGAAATCCCGGTCTTCTTTGTCAAAACTTTTCCTTTAAAGTAATGCATACCATACCAGTCAAAGGAGGAAAGTTGTCTTGTGACCCAATGTGTGCTTACCTTCCAGAAGTGCAAGTGGTCATTAATGATTGTGTACACTTTAAGAAAGACTAGTCTTTTCTGCTGCTTTACAGATTGTTATTTGTTTATTATCAAGGTTTCTTCCACAGTTCTGAAACATAATGCATTGAGTGTTCATATGTGACAATCCTGGATGTGGTTGGCATAAAACTACCACATCCAGGATTGTCACATATGAAAGTACAGTCTTCCTTGAATGGTTTGCACTATTTAAAGTTTTACTGCAGCTAAATGTCTTATTGCTATACTGTGTTTAAAGTCATCTAAGCATCTCTGCCTTCTTTAATAAGGAATTTTATCGTAATACATTGTTCTACATGCATATATAGAACAATACATTGTTCATATATGCATCAATTATGCTGGTTGCCATTTTGAATATTTAAAACATCAGAGATTAACTAATCAGACATACATTTCATTTACTACTAAAAAACACACGTAAAACACTTGCTGCTTGAGCAAATTGGCATGCTAGCATTATTTATTTTGCATATGCTTAGAGATGTTCATATTAATAAACATCAGTAAACCCAATAGTTATGTTATAGCCAAATGATTGCCAGATTAGATTGGGCTATATTACTACTATATATGATGATATTGCAGTAATATAGTCTGATCTAATCTGGCAATTGTTTGACTTAATTTTTTTCACACTGATTTTAATAGCAATAAAGTTTATTATGTCAACATTTCTGATGATTAACAATATATAAGGAATATCCAAAATAATGGTTTCTTATCTTTTCATCTCATCAAAACACTTAACAGAATCAGAAATATTTATTCAAAATTTATTACATGTTTCAGCTTATACACACTCATATAATGAAGTATGCAATAGGTGATCAAGTTATATTTATATAACAGAATAAATTTTAAAAATACACTTAATAGAGAGGTGCGGTCAACGTTTTCATCACAAAAATGTGAATGTCAGATGTTCAGCATCACCATCCTGTAAGCCTAGAAGTTTCACCATGGCATTTGAAATGTCGCGCATCATTCCACTGATGGTTGCAATGAAAATGTTGGCCGCAATCTCTCTATTGAATGGAGACGACAAATATTTTGACGATGTCTGTTACAAAAAGTAGCATTTTGGTGTTTTTTCTACATTTACAATTATCATATATTTTTCATAAATTCTCCACAAATGATTGTCTTAAAACTAGATGTGAAACTAAGAGATACTATAAACATACTTTATTGATATCCAGCAATGAGTTTAATTAATGTACAGTATTAAAATGTTTTTGGTCTATTCATAGGTCTTCCTCTGTTAGGAAACATACTAGACAATAAAAGCATGTTTCATGGCTTTTTTATTATCTGTTATTCATTCTTGACATGGCTTTATCAGGCATAGTTTTCCTCAGTTGATGGTGTGGGCTCTAAATAATGAAATTTATCTTAATCCTAATTTTCTTTGTGGCGTTTGGCATTTTGTCTCTAAGCATCAAATGTTTTTCCTCTACATTTCAGACTTTATGGTTGTACCAGTTACTATGGAAAATTATGTATGCATTATGTATAATTATTTTCAGAATTTGACATTATTAATCAAAGCCAAATAATCTCCATAATGCAACAAGCTATTTTTCAGCTACTATTAATAATTAAATTTNTAATTACACCTACAGTCGAAGTGTAATAGAAAAACGAGGTTTAAATGTGCCAGACAGACTTGCTAAACTGCATAGTAGCAAGTGTCGTAGTTTTCGAGGTCGCTACAGAGGGATATGCATAGGATACTTTTATATCCCTTGTAGCAATGTTCTACGAGGTGTATGCCCGTCGCGAGTTACCACGAATTCTAGTTATTAAATTTAATAAAAGATGGCACCTTATTCTTTCATCTAGTAACAAATTGCTTAAAAATTTAATTCACGATAACCAAAAAACTGACCAATGCATTTCTGTAAATGTTTGGTTTTTGATTATTTTTCTTCATTTGACAGCTTTTCTTAGTGCTGAATAATATGAAAGCATTTGATCTGATTGGTGTATGCTAGGCATTCCGTTATTATGATATCTGATCCTGATTATGTTTGGTTTTGTCCAAGTTGATTGAGTAATCACATATTTGACCTGGTACACCAATTTTTAGATAACTTGCATAAGTTTTTTGATAAAAATAAGCATTTGTCACAAGTTTGGCTAAGGAATAAATTTATAAATTGGGTATTTCATATAATAACATGCCTAACTGAGAATTACATTGGGAAGTATTTTATCCAGTGACACTGTGGCATTTGTGGCAGTCATGTTAATTAACATTTTGATTTTTATTATTATTATTATTAACAAATCGTTCGAGACTGCATACTATAATATCAAAAAACTTACTAATACACCTTATCTTGCAGCCGAAGTTTATAAGAAAAACGTTAGAAATTTTTCTTATAAACTTTGGCTGCAAGATAAGGTGTATTAGTAAGTTTTTTGATTATTATTAACAATTACTAAATTTAGTAGTCTTATTTAATGTATAGATCTTAAAGTTAATTATAATTAATATGACTATTAAATTCAACTGCGTGTCTAATATTTAATTTTTTTAAATGTTTTACTATTTACTAAAATTAATAATTTTCATAATTTTATTTACAGTGTTTGCTATATTTTCCTTTACTGGAGTTATTACTTTGATAACTGGTCTTGAACTGGATGGAATTATTTCAGGTAATTTTTTAATTTTTCAAATTATTTTTTATTGTTAACAAATGAAAGAAAGTAATTTAATAGAAATATTTTAAAATACAAAATTGTTAATAATATTTTAAAGATTATGATTTCTGTCTTGATAAGTTGTCTATTTTTATTCATAATATATACTTTTCCTTGTAATATAATTGACTTAATCTATTAATAATTCAGTTTCAGCTGTATTTTTTGAAATAAAAATATTTATTAAAACTAAACATTTTTCAATTGTATAGTTTTGCTTCAGAAGTAATTCAAGACTTTGAATAAAAAAATGAATTGTTACAAATTGTGAATTTCTCTCTTACAATTTTTACAAAACATCTTATATGTTTTTATTTCTTATTTTCTTTTGATTAATTTGGCTTCTGCTATAACATTTTTTAAAATAAATTATGCTGTTTGTTTTCTTCCTGTTTTTAAAAAATCTATTGTAACTCACATAGATTTTTGGCATTTTTGTTGTTGGTTATGTTTTAGATAACTTTGGTTATTTGATAAAATATGAAAATTAGATGAACTTATCTTAATATTATTGTTATTAACAAATAAAATTATATAATATAAATATTAAATAAAATAGTCATTTAATTTCTTTTAGGATTTATGAGTGCATTTTTAAAAAATGGAGAACCATATTTACGCTCTGCACATGGTGCAATGATTTCCTATTGGAATGGTACTGGAATGTATGCCATGTATCTAATGATGATTGCAGCAATAACATGGAAGTATGTATTTATTTATACTACTAAAAAGTATCTATAACTTTACATTATTTGCAAATTTTCATATTATTATTATTTACACACAATATTTACCAAAGATTTGAATTCTGGAATATATTATAATTATTTATTTTAATAGTTTAATGAATTTTTATACATAATTACAAATATGATGACAAAAATTTGAATGTGCTAGCTTATTTTTTTTAAAACTTATTCTTTTGGAATAGAAGTTGTCGTTTAGTTTTTATTTTCTTCAATATATATTTAATTGAAATTGAGCTTGTTGTTCTGGATAATTTATATTTGATTAACATTATATATTTAGTTTGTAGTATTAGCAAGACAAAATTTTAGTATGAAAATTAAATTGGAAGTTTATTAGAAAATATGCATTTATAGAAGATAATACTGAATTTAAGAGTTTACCTCTATAGTACACCAATATCCTATAATATTAAAGAAATTCTTATTGTCTGTCGGTATTAGATAAGTTTTTTAATATAAAATTAAGAATAACAAGATATATTTATCCATCATATCACCCACACCGGTAACAGGTTCAAGGTACATGTTAATAACAAGCACTTTTGACAAATACAAAATAGTCTTTTTCAGACAACAAACAAAAGATTTTGAATATGTAACAACGTTCTAATAGAACAGTGGTTCCCAATTATTTTTTCCTGCGTGCTACTTCAAGAAAGAGCTCAAACTCGCATACCCCTTATAGCAGAAATTTATATTAATATATACTAATATTATAAATTTGAAGGTAATTCTATCTGTCTGTCACCTTTTCACGTCTAAACCGCTGAACAGGTTTTAATAAAATTTGGCACGGATATAGCTTACATGTTGGAGATGGACATGGGCTACATTTTACTGCGAGAAAATATCTTACTCCCATGAGAAAATTTGATATAATGCAAGTGAAGCTGTGGGTAGACACCTAGTGATAAATAGAATAAGTTTTTTTTACATTTATTACCTTTAAAATACAATTCTAATAATAATGAAAATAACATAAGGTTATTTAATTTTAATGTGACAAATGTGCACGATTTTCTTTGCATGACTTTGTAAAATCTGGTTGCTTTTTGGTCAGCTTCAGTCTTGAGTCATCTTTGAGTTGAAGTCAGTGACGATGTTTAGCTTTCGTGTTTGTCATGGCTGAAAATCCGTTCTCGCAGAGGTATGTTGTGCAAAATGGTAGTAAATATTGTATTGCCACTTCACTGACATGATAATAATGATAATTGTACAATTAACACAAACTGTGTTAACTGTACAATTTTTGTTTCTTGCGTAAGAATTTCATGTAAGTATTGTCACAAATGCATTTTTTTGATGAAATTTCAAGAATATTTTAAATTATAAATAAACGAATTTGTGCATTCGACACCAGGTTGTAAATTGTCGAATTTTTGATGGTCCACCCATTATTTTTTTATTGCTTCATCTCATGCATTTAAATTTTAAATTGACCGATTTTAGATTGCTGCGCATACCCCTTCATACAATTTTGTGTAACCCCAGGGGTATGTGTATCACTAATTGGGAACCATTGTAGTAGAACGATTAAGAGCTAGCTGACAGACAGTAAGAATTTCTTTAATATAATACTGTATTTCTAAACTAATATGAAAGTTAACTTATATGAAATAACTAAATTAAAATGTAAAGCATTTTTTCTTGACATTAATTCACTGCTTTAGGGTTGCAAAGAATGTTTTTTAAAGTTCTTGTTCCTGATAAATCTGAATAAATCTATCATCCAAAAATGTTTTTAATCATTTGTGATTCTATTCCACTTTGTTATCTGTCTGGAAATGTAAATTGGCTAGATTCTTTTCCAAAGAACCAAACATTTTTATAATTTCTGGACAAGATTGGGACTATACAGAGGTTGTTCTTCACTTTCTAGCCACATTACTGGAACCATTGCTACATATCACCATATGAACTTGGAAATAAAACTCCTTGTTTCATAAATGCCTGTTAACTTATTTCTAAAACAAACCAATATATTCAATTTTTTTAATATAAAAAGATTGGTAACTTTTCCTGATTATTTGTTACTTTTAATAGTTGCTCTAAGAAATCTGTAATTAATTTTCCAATTTTTTATGTTTATCTAGTTAAAAATGTAATAGATGGTTTTTATAATTAATTTTTGTCAGTCAAGTTAAGTTATGAACTCATGTGAAAATGAATCCATGATTAATAAGTACAATGCCAATAATTTTCAAGAAGTCAATTTATTATTTGATTACTCAATAAAATATTTTTTTGAAACTATTGTGAATTGTCAAATCCTAAAAACATTGAAAATTGAATGTAAGAACAGAACTATCATTTGTACAATAAAAAATTTAAAATAATTTATAAACATTCTAATTGAGAGATCATTCAAAAACCTAACATCAACATTTTTAGTTTAGAACACAAAAAGTAATCAAATCTAATTTAATGTAAAAAATAATTTAAACATAAAACTTTTAACATTTAAAAAAACAAAAACAGAAAGATTTTTTTTAAAAAATAATCTTTCTGTTTTTGTGTTTGTTGTTTTGTTGGTGTATAGAAAATCAAAGGTATTCTATCATATAACCATTTCAAGTCTAAAGCTCCATTCAAGGATAGCAACTATTAGAGCACTGATAGAGTAATCATATGTTCTTTTTAAGACTATATCCTTGATTTTTCTGGTTTATTAGTAACTATGTCATTGGATGCTAACCACTTTTTAGTCAAGAGGATAGAGCTCCATACAGATTTATGGGCTGGTTAGTTTTATCCTGTAAGGTTAGAGCAGCTTTTCATCTATAATACCCTTTTGGACATCATCCATTCCATCAAGTCTTTCCTTATCGAGGAAGAAATGTTCAGGTTTGATGTAAGGAGAGAATTAATCATATATTGGCCTAAATTTGGTGGTCTCTAACATTTGTTTTGGTGATGCAATGTTATCCCAACATATAAGCTCATTGTCATATACAGTCGACTGCCCTATAACACGGTAGATATGTTCTAGTTTTTATGAATCCATTTTCTACGAGTCCAGCCAATCACAGCCTGGCACGTATGCAGGCTGTGATTGGCTAATTGTGGATGTGGTAAAATTAATCGATTCTAGACTAATTTGACTCAACATTTCCAAAATACGTATAATTTTTTGGGAATAACCCGTATAAACTATACTATAAACAAAAAATTGTAGGATTACTTATCAAGTGTGCACCATTCAACCATGCCATTGCTTAAGCTTGTTTTCGTCGTGTAGCTTGTCATTGAACGGCACTTGCGCGCTTCCTGATAAATTATTTTTTTTGCGAAAAATTCGCTGAACTTTGGAGACATCATTAATATAAATATAATTTTTATGGACATTAAATAATAAATGGTTTTTAGTAGGTCTGCTGCTCGTTTAAACTCAACGGTTTGTGCAACATCCGCTGTTGGTTTAGATTCAACCAATCCTGTCGCGACATGAGTCAGTGATGACATTTTACCGAATTATAGGAGTTTTTTTAGCAGGTTTGTATGAATACTGTCGCAATTTTTTTGCCATGATATAGGAATCCTAACTATAGGAACCCGTGTTATAGGAGGGTCGACTGTATTTTATTTACATTCTTATTTTGCTAATGGGAAATCCACTCGATCAATGGCTCCTTTTAATCTGGTGGTGACATAGTCTGCTAGCACAAAGACATTGCCATTGATTTTATGCAGTAACTCAGGGTCTTCATTGTGTAACTTCTTTTCAAATAGAATAAGAGAGTTTAAAGTTGTGTACTTGTCCCTTCTTGTTCTGTAGGTGGTCTTTCTAAGGCAAAGAGATTTTATCCTAGTAGTGACTCACAATCCTTGTGGAGGCATTTGTTGAATATGGGAATAGGAAAAAGGCCTTAATGGAATGTCATTCTAAAGGGCATTTTCCTAAACCTGACAATGACCATTTAAGATCTTGGTTGCTTGCTATTCTCTTTACTATGTGTATTTTCTTAGCATAGGGTTGCCTGCCATTGAGAACAAATCACACAGGAACATTTTTAGTGGAAAAAGGTCGGTTTATTGATAGGAAAGGATATGCAATTCAGGCTTAATGCCCCTCTTTGATCTTGATAGGAAATATTTTTAAAAATGAGTTTTTAAAAATATTTCCTATCAATAAACCAACCTTTTTCCATTAAAAGTGTTTCTGTGTGATTTGTTCTCAATGGCAACCTTATGCTAAGAAAATACATACCATTTAAGATGGTTGAGAACATTAGTTCATGTATTGAAATATGTTTTGCTAGATTTTTTTTTGTGTTGATGTGATGATTTAAACTTATCATTCTTTTACATTTATAATTACACATTGAAAATATACTAATCATTAGATANACTGTATTTTATTTACATTCTTATTTTGCTAATGGGAAATCCACTCGATCAATGGCTCCTTTTAATCTGGTGGTGACATAGTCTGCTAGCACAAAGACATTGCCATTGATTTTATGCAGTAACTCAGGGTCTTCATTGTGTAACTTCTTTTCAAATAGAATAAGAGAGTTTAAAGTTGTGTACTTGTCCCTTCTTGTTCTGTAGGTGGTCTTTCTAAGGCAAAGAGATTTTATCCTAGTAGTGACTCACAATCCTTGTGGAGGCATTTGTTGAATATGGGAATAGGAAAAAGGCCTTAATGGAATGTCATTCTAAAGGGCATTTTCCTAAACCTGACAATGACCATTTAAGATCTTGGTTGCTTGCTATTCTCTTTACTATGTGTATTTTCTTAGCATAAGGTTGCCTGCCATTGAGAACAAATCACACAGGAACATTTTTAGTGGAAAAAGGTCGGTTTATTGATAGGAAAGGATATGCAATTCAGGCTTAATGCCCCTCTTTGATCTTGATAGGAAATATTTTTAAAAATGAGTTTTTAAAAATATTTCCTATCAATAAACCAACCTTTTTCCATTAAAAGTGTTTCTGTGTGATTTGTTCTCAATGGCAACCTTATGCTAAGAAAATACATACCATTTAAGATGGTTGAGAACATTAGTTCGTGTATTGAAATATGTTTTGCTAGATTTTTTTTGTGTTGATGTGATGATTTAAACTTATCATTCTTTTACATTTATAATTACACATTGAAAATATACTAATCATTAGATAATTATTATATATAGAAATTTTATAGACTTTTACTTTCAGTAAAATAATTACTTGAAACATCAAAAAATCCAGCAATGAGTTGCATAATTTTTCTGGCTATTATGAGATTTCATTAAAAATTCAATTTTGTATTATTAATTATAATAAAAAGGCAAAAGGCTTAATTTTGAGGGTCAAAAATGAACTTTAATCACCAAAATTTAATAATATTGATGTCCTTATATACAAGTTACTATTCTAAATTCTGTTTCTTAATCTTTACCCCATCCTGAGATATTAAATAAAATAGATGCTAACATAAACACATATTTACACAAACATGCAGAATTTTTTTTTTTTTTAAGGGGGTCTCAAAATGTTGAGATTTGCAAAAAGCTTGGAATGTCACATTTGACACTATTTCAATACTTTTCCATGTTATATACATAATGGCCAGGAAAGTAAAAGTAAATATTTATAGATAGTTATTATTCATTTATATGCTTAAAGTTTTGCTTTAGAACAAATATACAGTGTGTTTAATAAAGATAAGAACACCCAACATTTTATGAATAACTTGAAACTTCTAGGTGCTATTACTGTCTGATTGTTGTCACTTATTTCTTTCATAAAGACACACTTGTACACTAACAGTTATGATTCTAAATAAATTGGCAGGCTAATTATTCATAATAAAATGATCTTTTAGTGTTCAATAATAATAAGAACACTCAAAAATTTAATTCATATACAGTATATTTTCTTTAACTTAATTTTTAAATATGTTACTGGAAATATAGGAAACCAAGTCATCTAACAACCAATATTTATTATTGTTGCTTTGGCAACCAAAAATTGTCATCTTTTCGTATAACAAGGCATTGTTATTTTGGTAAGGGCAAGATACTTTCAGCATTTCAAAACATCAAATAAATGTTTTAAGTGAAGCTGATGATTCATTAAGATTGTTAAAAAAACTGGAAGATCAGTTTGTGTGATCAGGAATTATTTGAAGTTAGGCAAAGAATAAAGAGTTAAGAAGAGTCCTGGAAGACTGCAAAAACTTACTTCTTGTAAGAAATGAGCAATTTTAAGGGAAATTATGAATGGAACAAGCTTTCTCAGAAATATTGCTGCAAAATACAAATATGAAGTAAGGTTGGGGACAATTTAGAACATAGTTTTTGTTGCCAATCATTTCAAATACTTCAAAAGAAAGTTGGAACCAAAGCTTACAGACAAACACAAGGCTGACTTAGGTAAGAAATCATATGACCTGGAAGGAACAGTAGAGGTATGTAGTGTAGTCAGACAAGGAAAAGCTCAATTTAGGTGACATGATGATTGCCAATACTTGGTGTGATTTAAGAAAGGAGAGAGAAATCTACTCTGAACAACAAATGAGTGGGGGATCTATGATGGTTTCAGCTGCCTTTGGAGAGTGAGGAAAAATAAATATTGCCTTTTCTTTAAGGAAGGCAGAATGCTAAAGGATACATCCAGCAGCTAGAAATGCATCTACTTTCTTTTGGAGAAAAACTAGGGGCATTAGTGGTAGTTCCAGCAAGATAATGCTCCAATCAAAACAACCAACATTACCTGGGAATATTTTCTGGCCAATGGAGTTCAAGTCATAAATTGGCCAGTCATGTCACTGGATTTGAATCCTGTGGAGAATGTCAGGGGGGGACCTCTGGCCAAGCCAGTCTGCAAATGGAAAGTAATACAATAACACCACAGAGCCAACAAAGACTGCAATCATTAAGAAATGGTAGAATTTCAAAAATTCTTCTAAAAGGAGGATTTTCCAAAAGTTGATCAAATTGATGACAGACAGTTTTCAAAGTAATTGTAAACAAAGGAGGTCATTCTGGATTATTAGCTTTCATGAATAACCTCGGGAATATCATTTTCTGTCCATTATTCATAAGTGATCTTATAATTATAGAACACTTCAAGAAACTCATTTCTTTAATAAAATTATTCTATTGTTTATATTAGAACTTGATACTTGGTATATAAGTGTAAAAACATATTGAAATACATAAAATTAAATTTGACTATAATCCATTTCACCATCTGAAATAAATTTTAAAAAAACTAAGTGTTCTTATCTTTATTGAATGCACTATATATAACAGGGATGCCCAGACTTTTTGTTGTAAGAGCCCTAGTTACCTACTTGAAAATATTGGGAGCTAATGTTCTTGGTATAAAAATAAAACAAAATTTCAGAATCATAATGTATTTATTTTGACATTTTTTACATATTTATTACAATTTTTTTTATTTACTCTTTGCTAGTTGAAGGTTTATGAATTTGTAATGTTTGTAATTAAATTTTAAAAAATAACAAATATTTTTTATTTATTAATTGAGCCACATTTAAGCTCTTGAAGAGCCACATGTGGCTCACAAGCCACAATTTGGAAATCGTTGGTATATAACGTTGGACATATTGGAAAAGGTGTATAATTAATTTCTTTTATTTCAGCAATACATTTTATGAAGTTGCATTGTTTTGGTGTGGATCTATTTCCAACAGTATGGTTGTATTGTTATTAGGCATACTTACTGGTAAGAAATTATTTTATTAATTTGAATGTTTTTTCAATTATAAAATAAATAAATAATTTTTAATATAATGACAATTTTAAATTATACTGTACTTTTATTTAATTTATTTCATATGTCATTATCATTTTTATTTTATCAAAAGTAAACAGTAATATGTTAAAAATGTCTTCAAAATTTCAGGTAAACATGGCATTACTTTGGGTTCTTTACTCTATTTTCCATATATCATTATTCCTCCCGTAATTTTATTACAATTGAGGCATCAAAAACAAGTATATCAAGTAAGTCAAAACACAAAATGTCTGTAAAAATTATATGAATATATAATTAAAATGTCTGCAATGCAGTTTGAAGAATAATTTTTATTATTATGCAATCATAAAAGTAAATTTGAGACAAAATCTCAGTATTATTTAACTTTAATAGTACTTAATTTGTTAAATAATAATTTGCATAAGTGAAATCAATAATAGATTAACTATCAGACTAGAACTTGTCTAATTAATTGTATGGAAATTATGTAATTTGAATTAAAGATGATTTTATTGCCATCTTGTATTAAATTTAATAACTAGAAATAAAATATAGAACTAATACTTGATAAATCTAAAAAATAGAACCTATGCAAAAAAAAACCAAAAATACAGCAAAAGAAAAAAATTTAATAAAAACTAACATTTTTGACAACTTCTAGCAACTTCCATGATTGTAAAAATATGTCGATAACCCACTCTCAACCTCTCTGATATATGGATAATACTTTACAAAAACTTAAAACCTTAATTTTTATGTTTTAATTAATTTTTGATATCTACATTTTTATTATTTTTTTAGCATTATTTTATTTTATTTTACTTAACCCTACATTATCCATTTTTGTATTTTATTTATTTCTTTAACCACATTTTAAATATGTTGTGAACATCCTCTGTATTTGTTTTAAATTTAAATCAAAACTTCATCACATACATTCAAATTCTAACACTATGTATTTAAGCTTAGCATGCATTCTTATGTTTGGTTAACATAAAATGTTTTTAAAAAATCACTATTCAAATTTTGTATATTCTTTGTTCACCTGAGGAGGATATTTTGAAATGTTGAAAATGTTGTATTCAATTTATCAAGTAAATGTATTTAATGCTAAAAGACAATACATTTCTTCCATATACTAGCTTTTAGTAATCATTGCCAGATCACAAACTGTTCTAAAAAGGATTATTAGGATATATTAATATACTATTATTGGGATATACTAATATACTATATTAATAATATATTTTTTCGTACATAATCAGTTATCCGAAAAATCGATTTTTCGAACAACCCCAGTTCCCAATTGATTCGGATAATTGATGCTCTACTGTATATAAAAATAGTTAAAATAAAATATCTAAAGAAAATAACTTAAAACAAATAAATGCAAACAAGCAACACAAATCAAACGACAAAATACTCTATCCTAAATCAACTTATGGAGATATACAAAGCATGCAAGAAAAACTAGAACTAAACATGATTTTGTTAATTACTGCAAATGTACTATTACTAATTAATTCAAAATACACCTAAATCCAGTAACATAAAACAAATTAAATAACTGAACTAATGTTTTTAATTTTATTTGAAAATTATCATTAGGTTCTTATGATAGAACATAAAAGATTAAAAATACAAATTATTGAACGATTTAAATTCTATTATATAATGCATGAGCAAGGGTTGAATATACAAATAAGTTAAAATTAAACATAAATGCAGTAGAGCATCAATTTTCCAAATGCTGATCAACCGAAAAGTCTGTTAACCGAAAGCGTTCCAGTCAGACTGTGTCATGCTGAATCATACGTTTTTGATACTAGATTAACTTCTAAAGTATAATTCTTTTTGTTTTTATAGTTTTCAATATATTTATTTTGTTTGTATAAAATAAAGAAATAACTTTTAACTATACAATAGCCACAATTATTATTATAACAATTTTCGTTAGGCTTAACATTGATGAAAATTCAATGCAAAATGACACACAACAGAGAAAAATTTAAACATAGGATATATTAATATACTATTATTTTGATATACTAATATACTATATTAATAATGTATTTTTTCGTACATAATCAGTTATCCGAAAAATCGATTTTTCGAACAACTCCAGTTCCCAATTGATTCCGATAATTGATGCTCTACTGTATATAAAAATAGTTAAAATAAAGTATCTAAAGAAAATAACTTAAAACAAATAAATGCAAACAAGCAACATTATTTATTGTGACATCATCACAATGCCAGCTGCAATTTTTAATCATATTTTTAATTATTTAATTTAAAATATATACTTTCCAAATTAGATTAGTAATGGCTTGCCCCTGTACATCATACTTTTCCTATAATATGAGAGTTGTGCCATTCATCTATCTAACACTTTTCAGGGGAAATTTTTTGAATTCAAATAACATGACTTCCATTTGCATCTGAAGTTCTTATATAGTTAATCAGACTTCCCGCCTCTAAGGTTTGCATATCTGATCTCGTCTTTCATCTGTCTAACTCCATTCTTGAGATTAAGGAAACATTGACAGATGACAGTGGGAATTTATAGGTTACAATTTTTTCAAATTGCAGCCCAATCCCAATGAATATAAATAAAAAATTACATTACATAAATGAGTAAATGTATAACAAAAGGAGGTTAAAATTAATAAATGTATAATAGTAACAAAGAAATGATAAATTAAAATAGACAACTTCAAATAAAGCCCTCCACATGTGACAATGGCATCATATCTCTACTGTTAATTTCAGTCTTTTTACAAATTGCTTTATAGGTTTCAAGTATTTCCAGATATTTTAGATGAGATAGAGTCAATGTTCAATGTATTAGATGTGCCCTATCAAAAAAGATGTCACAGTCCTGATCAGAGGCAAAGGCCACTAAGGTAGTTGTAGTCAAGCATTTTCTGATTGAATCTTAATGTTTTTTGATCCTGGTATGCAGAGAGCTTACCAGCTTATATGCTATACATATGTGGCACCAATATGTTCAAAGGGACAATCTATCCTCTAATATATAAAGGAAAAAAAAAACGTTTCTAAACGTTAAAAGACCGAAAACGTTAGAAGTAATAAACTTCGGCTGCAATATAACTATTGTCTATACGTAAAGGAGTACATTAAATAAAACTAAAAACAAAATAGTTAAAATCAATATGAATACAAATAAATGGATTTCAAATCTAATCCTCTAAACAAATCCAGCGAGAGAGAGTTTACATAACAATAATATAATATTACCTGATGTTCACATATATCTGAGATAGAGTGTTGAGAGTTCTTAGGAGTGCACAGAGGTTGGAGAACTGGGAGAAGGATGACTAAAACATCGGATGCTCGGCAAGGGTGCCAAATAGAGAGCAGTGGCTAAAGCCTTGATCACTGCATAAGAGTATCCAAATGAGAGCAAGTTGGAAGGTGATCTCTTACCTTTTATGCTAAATCTTATCCAATAGAATCATTGAAAGATCATACCATACTTCCAATGCATGATGGAAGTCTGGTGGTTTTACAGATAGATGAATGAGACATTGCACTCAAACTATCTCTTTTGGCGGAACTAAACTGTTTTTCTCCATGAGTCAAAGGAAATGCTTTCTTTTACTTTGATAGATAATTTTTTCTATCAAAAATAATTATAAATATTATTTTAACAAATTCGTTAAAATATCTTCCTTAACTCCAGATTCTCACATTATTAAATATGCATTTCAGACACTTCTGTCCCTCTTCAGTTTAAAGTAGATGCTATTAGGTTACAAGTTCTTTTACAAATTCACTGAAGACTATACTTAAATAGTCTGGAAATGAAGATTGGGCAAAGGTCTGGGTAGCATAAATGACAATATGAATGCATGATAAATAAGAATTATAGGTTCAAATTCTGTTTTGGGCCAATTTTTTTTTCTTCCAGAACCTTCTAAATTAATTATTAAAATATTAATATAATTATACTTATTAAATTTAACAACAGATGGCACCTAACGCTTATCTCTAGTGCCAAATTCCTTAGCATTTAATTATTAATAGTTGTATTAATATATCTGATACAATCTGGCAATTGTTTGACTTTAATTAAATTATAGATATGTACAAATAGCAGTTATTAAGCTCAAACTTCAGTAGATATCAATTTGCGTTTCTGTAATATCTTCTGACATTCATTTCTGAAGCCCAGTAAATACCTATCAAATGATTACCTGTAAGCAATCTAAACAAAATTAAAATGATAGGATTATGGCATGTGGCTTCTAGCATCAATGATTTTGTATATTCAGGGATCATACATCTTTTCTTTAAACATCTCCACAATATTACTAAAAAGATTCCTTTATATTTATCAATAATAAAGATTTTGATGTAGAATATATAACAAAACTATTAAAATCTTTTAAATATTATTTTAATTTGTGTTTAAATTTAAATTATGGATATTGAAGCTTTATAACTCTAATTAAAAATATCTTTCTGAAAATTAATTAATTCTGAAAGTAAATTTAAAATTGCATAAATAATTAAAATATTCCAAAAAATTTAATTTATTAAACTATTATATATCTTGTTTCTTCTGATTCTATGTCACGACTTGGTGCATTTATAGACACTTGGCAAATAATTCCATCACCTACATTTACTTCTTACAGAAACGCGTTTCGGGCTTTCGCCCCTCTTCAGTCTGTTACGTCGATAGTTGTGACTTGTGTGTCCGTACTTCCCGCTCCCTTCCCCTCCCCTCTNACAGTACGGTACGATTTGGTTATCAAGAGAAGTGCTCGTTGCTGTGAAGAGATGAGTTTACGATTAATGTGTATTTTTCGAGAAGCCCATCCCCAGGTGCCAACTTTAAAATACAGTAGGATCTTGTTTTATGTATGATTAATATATGCAAATTCATGTTTTTTGCATATAATGAGTGTTTGTATTAATCCACTTCTAGTGCCAATAAATCTGACTCTTAAGTCAGCAAATCATGCTTTTCTAGCTTCTGACATTCCAAATATGAGAAACTACTGAATATTACTCACTGTGATGAATATCCTAGTTTAATGTATTATTCTCAAATAATGTACCATATTGAGTACATTATTTGAGAAAATTTTGCTTTATACATTCTAGAGATAACACTAAAATTTTAATCTTTATAGTAAAAGCATAATGTGTTTTAAATGCATTTTATTGTTTTCTGTTAACTGTAAATGGTTACATTAGTTTCTAGGCAATTATCTGAGCTACTTGGGATAAAGCACAAGTGCCATTCATCTATCTAACACTTTTCAGGGGAAATTTTTTGAATTCAAATAACATGACTTCCATTTGCATCTGAAGTTCTTATATAGTTAATCAGACTTCCCGCCTCTAAGGTTTGCATATCTGATCTCGTCTTTCATCTGTCTAACTCCATTCTTGAGATTAAGGAAACATTGACAGATGACAGTGGGAATTTATAGGTTACAATTTTTTCAAATTGCAGCCCAATCCCAATGAATATAAATAAAAAATTACATTACATAAATGAGTAAATGTATAACAAAAGGAGGTTAAAATTAATAAATGTATAATAGTAACAAAGAAATGATAAATTAAAATAGANACAATATTTTTATAATAAATAAATATTTTATTGAATTATATATTGACCATTTTGGTCAAATACCTGTTGCCATCGTTTCTGGTAGTAGCATGATTTCACATTCATAAAAGTTTTGATCGTTGCTTACAAAAAACTGATCCAAGTGATTTTTGACATTGTCATTTCAAGTAAATGTCTTACAGTTAAAAAATTTGTATAGACTGGAACAAGTAATAATCTGAGTGTGCTTGATCTGGCAAATATGATTGGTTTGATAGCAAGTCCCATCTAAGTTATAACAGTTTCTGATGAGTTACCAAACTTGTGTGAAATTTCACATTATTGTGATAAAACACTACACCTGTTTTGTTGATCAATTATGGCCACCTTTTCTGTTTAATGATATTACTCAATTCGTTTACTCGATGGCAGTACACTTTCAAATCAATTGTTAAATTGTCTGGTAAAAGATCCAAAAACAAATTCCTTAAAATCCCACCAAAGAGAGCATCTCTCTTTAAGAACATGTGGAACCCATATATCAAGCTTTGAAATGAAACCACTTTGTTTCCAGTAATCATAAACAGTTCAATTTGACAAATTTAATCTCTTAGTGATTTCACGTGTTGTTATTTGGCAGTTTGCTTCAATCAGTACCTTTATTTTGTTTTCATTGGCTTCAACTGGCCATCCAGAACGTGGTGCATCTTCAATATTGAAATTGCCAGAATGAAATTTTGTAAACCAGTTTTGGCACTGTCGTTCTGTCAATACATCTTCA